ATATATATATATATATATATATATATATATATATATATATATATATATATATATATATATATATATATCAAACAAATCAGACATCACATTTATCAAAGAGTGACTGATACGGTTAGGGTGGTTCTTTTGCATGCAAGACGATCGAAAAAGTGGAAATGAGATCATTGACTACCGACCAACTAGAACGATAGGATCGTCCACGTCATCGTCTATTCAACTGACCTTCAACAACAATACACCGACCCACACATCGACGTGGGCCAGTAGCGTGGTACTACCAAGTGCCATGTCAAAACATGTGAAGAAAGCCCCGATTCTCCCTTCCAGCTTGGAAAGAGTATAAATACACAATATGTGGAGTGTAAAGACTTGTATTTTATATTTTTTAAGTTTATATTTGCAGTGTATATATTTGTATTTATAACTAAATTTGGAAGGGTCATAAATACAAATATGAAGATTGCAAAAGCTTGAATTTTGTATTATTTTGCATGTTTTTGTATTGTACATATTTGTGTTTGTACTTATTCGGATGGTGCCCTAGTTGGTCGGAGCTGCTATGTGGGTATTTCCATGACCGATGTATTCAGACCACGTTAGAGCACTGCTTATCTACAAGTGTGGATAATTACATCATCATAAAACTTTGAATAAAAGTGAAGTCTTGTATAGACAAGGACAAGCACTACCTCCCAAAGATAAGTGCCCCTGTTAGGGAAGGCAGAGCTCCCCGAAAACCTCAGTGGGTGGCCTCATCCCAATGACCCCTCAAGGATCGTGTCTAGGTAGAACTTGGACACTCAATTATTTAAAGGCGTCTCTCCTCAAGGTAAAAGGGCTTCAACTCTCAAAACTCTCTAAGCGCTCTAGCTCTCTTTCTCATTTACTATTCTCCTCGGCTCGACCTAACTCAACCAAATTGACTACATCACCCCATTACTGACTTGAGCGTCGGAGTACCTTCCCAAGGACCCCATCCCCAGGTCTCTAACTCTATCCTATTTGTAAACCACCTTGGTGCACGACCTCGTCCTTCCACCCCATCTTCGTCTAGTGATAAGATTACCTGTTGTGTATTCAATTCGGCACACCTCAGTTCAACACATCTTAGCTCGACACACCTCAGATCGTACAACATTTGATTGGCACCGTTTGTGGAAACCGGCACAAAACGCCTATTTCCAATCTTCTCTCTCCTTGTGTACTGAAAGCGATCATGCATCCCAAAAGCACCTCCAACCGCTTTAGTGCACTCCCCATCTCGGGGATCCCATTCTCGACACAACTCTCCCCTCGTGAGGTTTGATCATAGAACCAGGTGAATCCTGAAGAATTCAACACCCTACAGAAGAAGGTCGACCACCTCATCCTAATGATGGAAGCGTTGGGGCATCAAGGACATGCCCCTACAACAATGCAACCAGCCCCACTTGTGCCTACGATAGTCGATCCTCATGTCAAGGACCCCAAAAGGCACCCAACGGATCCTTCAAGACCCAAAATTGAGCGTGAGAGGCCCTAGCCACCTCAGAAGTCTGAGTCTCAAGCTCGAACCCAAGCCCATAACGCTCACTCCCAATCACACCACTCCAAAGGAGCTCATCTTCCCATCAAGGATCACCTTGGTTCGGCATACCTTGGCTTAGCACACCTCGGTTCGCACATGCAACACCAACAGTCACAGGTCTCCCTTGCCAAACCTAGCCCTATGAAAGATTGTCGTGCATCACCAAAGGAGATAAAACTCACAGAACTCGGCATAGAGATCAAAGACGTGCAGGAGCAATTGAACAAGTTAGAGCAAGCTATGCCAACCGGAGCATAGCCGCCACGGCAGCTTGTCCTTCAAAAGAGTCATGCCCTTCGAAGAAGCTGACCTTCACATAGGAAATCATGGACGAGCAGCCTCTATAGGATGTGCCCCCCTCAATTGGAAAAATACAATGGGACCTCAGACCTTGCCGACTACTTGGAGGGATTTAAGGCCTTCATGCTCCTATAGAGCTCTTCCAAGGCCTTAATGTGCAAGGCCTTTGCCTCTACACTCCAGGGAGTAGCTATGCAGTTGTATGCCGCGCTCCCCCCTCGATCAATAGCTGCTTGGGAATAGCTTGAGGACAATACACCAGCAGCCGCCAACACTAGAAGATGTTAGCAAACCTCATACATGTTTGACATAAGGAAGGTGAACCCCTAAAGGAGTACTTGGCGAGGTTTAACAATGAGTCCATCCAAGTCTAGAGACTAAACCACTCTATAGCCATGGCCGACATCATGAATGGGTTGTAGACATCTCGGTTCAACTTTTCACTATATAAAAAAGCCCCTATTGGACTGACCCAATTCATGGCACATGCCTAATAATGCATCAATGTCGAAGAGGCACAAGCACAACACCGACAGGAAGAAGAAGAAGGCCGACATGACAAGAAGCACAAGAACTAGAGCAACAACCGAGCTGACCACGTTCGTGACCATCGTAGAAGTCGCAGGCTGAGGACTCCACCCCTGACTTTCAAGAACTTCATTCCACTCAATTCCACTCGAACCAAGGTGCTAATCAAATTCATAATTGTAGGTTCATACGGTGGCCGAAGAAGTTGAAGTTTCAAGGGAACAGGAGGACAAGGGACGAGTACTGTGAGTTTCATCGAGACCATGGCCACGATACTAAAGATTGCTAGGACCTCCATAACCACATAGAAGACCTCGCCGGAAGAAGGTACATCAGGGGTTTCATGGATGACCATCAAGCTCCCAACAGAGACAACTCAAGTCACACTGACATGCCTATCAATCAAGGCCGGCCTTTGGCTAGAAT